CCCCAAGCCCACCAGAGGGGCTGCAGCACAGTCCCTTGCTGATGCCCAGCACGGGTCTCTGCTCCGTCATCTCCTTGTGGGCTCGCACTTACCTTCTTGGCTATCTCCAGGCAAAATTCCTGCTCCACAGTGTCCAGCAACCGGCTCTTGCAGCTGGAGTAGAGCATGCGCTCCTTGATGCTGCACTTGTACCCGGGCATGGAGTAGATAAAGACTGCAAGAAGAGAGCAGGGCTTGGGGTGCTGCCCAGGCCTGTGGCCAGGGCATACCAGCTGCATCCTACCCTGGTCACATCTTTTTCAGCCCCGAGAGTCCCAGTTTATTCAGTGGTAGAAGGTGAGCCATCCCATCCATCACCCCTCCCAAATCTTCCCTGGTATGCCTGTCATGCACTGGCCACCAAACCACTCCCACAAATCCTCTGCGGCGGCACCCAGAGAGACCTGCACCACACATGGCAGGGTTTCTTTGGCACCAAAGGGCTTGCTAACACTCACCATGGGAGGGAACCGACTCAAGGTCCCCTGCCACACCATCCCTATCCCCATCACTGCTTGCTCCCCCATGTGAGCAATAGTCCAGGGAAAATGGGGACCCCCACAGGTTTGAACCAGCCATCCCCAGCGCCAAGGCTCTCACCGACAGACTCCAGGTAGTCTCCCTCATGTGAATGCTTGTACAGGAAGAAATGGTAGCGAGCTGAGTCCTGGGGGATCCTCTTGGGCAGGTCAGCGATCTCTGTGGGGCTTGTGTGCACCAGGTCGATGGTCTCCCGCTCCAGATCCAGCTTCTGATGGACAGAGGGACAGGGGAGCAGATGGGAGTGAGAGATGGCAGCAAGAGGTAGGGGAGTGGGGCACAGAGGAGCCATGTGAGGGACCTACCAGCTGGATGTAGTTGATTTTCTTCTGCTTGAGTGCCTGGATGGCTTGCTGGGCATCCAGCTGCAGGGGGAAGGCCAGGCCCTGCAGTGTTTGGTGCTTGCTCTCCACACTGATCTCTGTCTTCACCTGGGGATGGAAACCACCTCGAGCGTCAGGGCACAGTGGCGAAGGGTGGGGAAGGGAGAGAAAGGAAAACCAGCCGCTGCTGTGGCTAAAACTTCTCATCCCAGGAGCTTCCTGACACCCAGCTCACAGGGACCACGGCATTAAACTGCTGAAAGTCAGCCAGGCTCAGGATGGGGACGTTTGTCACTGTATCACTGCTCTGGGAGATCACCTCGGCCCAGCCATGCACCCCTGCACCCCACACTGCACTCCCAGCAAAGACCAGCTCAAGACCAACATTTTCCAGCGAGTCCCTGATAGGGATACTGCGACCGATGCCGGCACATTTCCATCTCCATTCATCTCCAACTGTTACCCCACGGATGACAGGGGGAGCCCTGAAATGACAGCGCTCAGTTGCACAGGTCCCCAAGAGCAGGGAGGACAACCCACTCTCCTCAGTGAGTTTAACTGCAGCAGACAGGCACTCCCTCCAACGCTGGAGCTGGGGGAACTGGAGATCCACAGGTGGGAAAGATCCCAGACGCTGTTTTCCCCACAACCCCTGAGGCTGCTGCCTGTAACCCCTAGTCCAGGAGACCAAACCCCACTTTAAAGAAGGAAGAGAGAGAGATTGCAGAGACGTGGCATCGTCCCGGGTGCCTCCATCCAGCCACAACGGGGGTCCCTCACGGGGACTGGAGGGGAAGGGGGGTCAGGGCGCGGCGGGCACACCATACCTCCTCGGGGTCGGGGTACTCTACCAGCGATGGGCAGCAGCAACAGCCCCCCACCATCTGCCACAGAATACAGGGAGATGGCGTCACCCTGACGGCGGAGGAGCCCTTCCCACCTCAAGACCCCCTCCCAGGGAAACAGCCCAGCAACTCTAACCCAGGTGCTCTGCAGCGAGCGTGGGTCCCTTTCCTTTGGGATCTGTTTTCAGAGATTACAGATAGAGTCCAACCTTAACGGTTTTTTCTTTCTTCATTGCCCTCCCCCTGACAGAGAAAAGGAAGAAAAGTCAAGGCATGCCAAGAGAAACGCAGGAGTTTGGGCTGACATCTCAAAACCACTCGGCAGCACCCAAGTGGGTCTCTTTACAGGGCTGCCCTTTGTTACAGGAGCCTCACACGGTACCCACACCCCGGGGGAACGATGGACTCGGGTGCCCAGAGCAGAGCATGCAGAAAAACAATGCCAGGAGAAGGAGAAACCGGGCATCAAGCAGGCAGAGCAGCCTACCATCTCGGTGCTCGAGTCTTGGGAACAGGAATCCTGCGAGCGTGGGGAGAGGAGACACACTGTCAACAGCACCCTGCGCAGGGATTGGGGGGTGTCTCGTGTGAAACAAGAAGGGTAGGGGGGACACACGGACATGCCGGGAGGATGAAGCCGTACCATGTCCCTGCTGGAAGCCAGGGAAGGCCACATTGCCCTGGCAATGTGGGCAGGGAGAGCAGCAAAAAACAACACAGGAGATGTCAGCGCTGGGGAAGAGTGGGAGGGAGAGTCCCAGCCCCCAGCCTGGGCAGCCCTGCATGCAGCGTCTCTGCCAATGTCTCTGTGCAGAGCCTGTCCCTGCCCCATCTCCTGCTGGCTCCCCAGCTGGGGTGGCCCCAGCCCAGAGTTTGGATGAGTTCCAGAATTTGCAGGAATAGATTTTGGGCTATCCTTTACCAAAGAGCATATGTTAGATATTTAGGAGGAAAAAAATGCTCAAACCTCTATCAATACCAGGCATCTTGGAGGATGAGCAGGGTGTGAATGTGCAGCTCTTAGGAAAGGGAAATAACTGCTTAGGTGGGCACAAAGTCCATCTGACCTCCAGCTCTGCTGTCCTACCATCCCCTGGGATGTTGTGGCACCAGCACGGGCCCAAGGGAAAGCACACAGGGATTCAGGATGCACACAAGCTTGCCTGGTCCCACCCTGTGGAGAGGTGCAGCACAAGGACATCACCACTGCCAACAGCCCCAGACCCTCAGCTTTCTCTCCCATAAATGCAAGGAGGCTGGAAGGATTATAGCAGGACTGGAGAGATCTCAAGCTCCAACACAAAGCACGCTGAAGTCCAAAAATACGAGATGGAAACTTGTCCTAGCAACATCAATTTCCCCATACCCCTCTGTATTTTCTACTCCTTCCCTTTTAAAAACATTAAAAACTGGCTTCCTGAAACACTCCCCAGGGCACAGCCTGAGAGCCATGCACAGGACTGCTGAGCATATGCCACATCCTGGCTGCCCAGCCTTGCTGGCAGCAGGCTTGCCATGGGGGGCTATTTTATCTCCTTTTCTTTAGGTTAGATTTTCCCCACCTCTTCCCTCACTCTTGACACGGTGCTGACCTTGGTTAATGAGCACTGCTCTGCCTTATGGTGAAATCCTCATGGGAGGATTCTGGTGAAGCCTCTGCTCTACCCACCCTCCAACACTGTGGGGCAGCCACTAATGACACTCCCTTCCACCTTGCAATTGCTCCCCCACCTCTAGTTCCTTTTAACTCTCCTGCCCCCTCTCCCAGCCCCATGAGTGGGATATGCCCGGCTCCCTCCTGTGTTTCTGAACCTGCTACACCTCTAGAAAGACTCCCCACTCGTGGGTGTTAAGCTCAGTGCAAAATTCAAAGCTGTTTCGTAGCCCACAGTCTGCTGACAACTCTCAGCTCAGCAAAGCTGGCATTTTCCAGCTATTTAAAAAATATATATAGATATAAAGCGAATAGCAAATTTCCCTAAGCTCCCAACCAGCTATCAAGAAAGGGTATTTCACAGCATCACCTCTGTCCATACAGCCCTTGAACCACGGGGAAAGCTTGGCTCATGCAGCCTAAAACCTGCTTTCCCAAAGGCTGGGCACCTCCCTGGGGGACGTTCAAACCTGAGTCCTTCTTTGTTCAGTGTCAAAGGCTGCTGTGCCTGTCCTGAAGCAGCTGCCCTGCAGTCATGGCCTGCCCCTTCCTTCTTTGCTGCTGACCTTCCCCTCCCACCCCCTCTGTGCACTTTCCCGGTGGCTGAGGATCCCAGGGAGCTCCTGCCTGATGAGAAGCACAGCCACATTCAGGGTGAGGACTGCAAACCTGTCCAGTGTCTCAGAAGATTGTGCATCAACAATGCAAAAGGAGAGGGGAGCAGAACTCCCAGGCAAAGGGCACAGCAAAGCACTTGAGAGCTGGTGGCTTTTAAAGAAACCATGTCCCTTGTGTCACTTGCAAAATCCTGACAGGTTGGTTGAACACAGGGGGATGTGCAGGGTCCTGGACCACTAGCAGGGCTTGGGCACACACATAGAAGTGCTGAGGTCAGGGACTGCCCTGGGCCCAAGTCCCAGGTCACTGCTGGCCCTGAGCACCCTCTCCCACATGCTGGATCTGCTCCCCCAAAGGCAACTGCAACGTGCAAGCACGTGGAAGGACCCCAAAGCCTGTGCACAAGGTGCACACGTGTGCAGGGACCCTGCACGCTGCAGGCAAGGCTGGAGGCATCGCTGTACCAAGACAGGTGGTACAAGTTGTGAGCTGCTCCCATACAACCCCCTGGATCACAGCCCTCTGCTTTGCAGGGCTCCAGAAACTCACTCCAAGCTGCATTTACTGAGAGTCCCGGGTTTCCCCAGCCTGGGGACATCAGTGTGGCACGGAGTACCCAAACCACAGCTCACACCACCTCCTGCTCCGTGTGCAGGGCCAAGTGGGCAAAACACCAACACGGAGACCCCTCACCCAGCATCGGCCACTTCCCACCCTTAAATCCACCCACAGGCAAAAACATACCCATCTTCATCTCCTTCTAAATGTTGGTGACTGCTCCCTGTGGCCCAGGCTGACACAGGGGACCATGCACCTTTAAAATAACTCCCAAAAAACTAAACGGCAGCAGCACCTCCACCCAAGAGCTGCGTCTCACAAAGGTGAGGGTGGAAAGGAGAATACGGCAGGTCAGCTGGAAAATGAGCACCACAAGCACTACTTACCTGGGCCACATGACTCTGTAAGACACAGCCCAACACCCTCCCAAAACTACTTAATCCTGCAGCACTGGCCAGACAAGGTGATGGCGCAGACATCCTGAGGTGCCAAATGAGCTGCAGAGCTACCATCAGCATCTCTCTCTTCTGCAAGCATGGGAATCACCTTGGATCCCCCAGCACAAATCATGCCCAACCCCTCCAGGCTGGGAGCTGGGATAACTCCACTGAGATCCATGGTAGAAACCACCTCTTAGTGGCATCTCCAAAACGTCCTTCAACTTCACCACCCCCAGATCTGCTTTGGCAGGTGGAAACCTCCTGCCTCGTCTTTGCCATTAATTAGTGCCATCAGCCTTGTCTGCCCCCAGCCCCACCCCGTGACACTTCCACATCCTCTCCAGCACAAAAGCCCCCAAATTTAGGCTAAGATCTGTATTTCTTGGGACAGCATCCCTCATATTTATAGCCACAGAGGAAGAGAATGGGAGAGGATGCTGCTGCAGCCCAAAGATAAGCCTGAATTCTTACTGCCTCCCCCACAACTTCAAACTCAGCGCTGGCTTTTTGCCCCAGCACCCAGAGGTTAGAGACTGCTGCCTGTTTTCAGCCCTAAACCATCTTCTGACTGCCAGCAAAACGCAGTCCTGAGCTCATGTTCAAGGAAGATAAAACATAATAGTGTAAATTCCTCTTTATGCCACCACAGTTTGACTGTGAGGAGGTTTGGCCACCTCAGCAAGGGCAGAAACAGGTTTAACTGCACAGGTACAAGGGAGCAAAGTAAAAAAGACCCATCCCTTCTAGCTGAACACTCATTCCCTGCATCCCACACATCCCTTCATGCTCAGAGGGTCTCAGGTTCCTCTCCTGGGGCTGCTGGACACCCACCTCGTTGATGCGGATCTGCTGCAGCTCCTGCTCGGCTGCGGTCAGCGGGGCCGGGGCAGAGCTGGAGGACACGTGCTTTTGGTAACCACTCAGGGACACGTCCTCCTGCAGACATAGGGACAGGAGACACATCAGAGATGGTTATCAGGATGCACCCCCAGCCCTGAGGTGAGTGTGAGCAACCCGGTGGGTCTTGGGCTCCCTCCTTACCAGGAGGATCAACCTGAGAAGTGCTCTTGGATGGCTCCAAGCAAATCCCACAGTCAATTTTAAACAGTGCCTACGACTGCTTGTGCCTGTTCAGACCCTCCCCAGGCACCTGTGGCTGTGATAGTGCGGCTCTTCCAGCTGATTAATGGAGCTCATGAGCATGGAAGTGAGAAGGAAAGGCAGAGCCCACAGACTGAGAGCAGCAGAGCGGGGCCCCACAGCAGAAGGGGGATCTCCTGGAGCAGAGCAGGGATCTCCCTGGCTCCCACCAGGACCAGAAGCCTCAGCAGGACTGATGCCCAGGATCCAAGGCAGAGGGATAATCCTGGCACACAGGCAGCTGTTGCTGCTGGAGTGACACTGCCACCACCTGGTGCTTCTTCTCCCACTCAGTGTAAAGCTCCACATCTTGGAGCCTTCCTTCCACTTCTTCCACGGTCTCTATCACAGACCACAGCCCTGCAGGCAGGAGATGACGGCAGTGGCCACCCAGGAGACTAAAGCAGCGTGAGGGACCAACTTCTGTGCTGTCCCAGCATCCCACATCCCACTGAGCCCAGGCACTGAGCCCAGGGTAGGCTGCTGAAACTCAGGGTTGGACCCAAAAGGCTGCCCAGGAACCACCACCATACCTTCACTGTGCCAAACATCTCATCCTTTATGTGCCCCCCTCCAAACTCCTTCTTCACCGTGGCTCTGGTGGCAGCGTAGAGCATCTTCAGCCGGACCTGCCGGGAGAGGGGCGGCAGTGCCGTCACAGAGGGGCACGGGGCACCAGGGAGGTGCCCAGTGCTCACAGCCACCATCCCACCACCAGCTCCACAAACATCAGCCCTCCTGGGAACAACCAGCTAGTCTCCAGCTCTATCTGATTTCTAATGGCAGCACCCCTGAGTGGGGAGCAGGCGGGAAAATCCACTAGCACTATTTCCAGGGCTGCCGGCGCCTGGCGCAGCCTTGCCAAGCACGGCCCACAGTCCCACAGTTTATTCCATGCTTTGCTTTCCCATCCCTGAGCTCCAGTGTGCCACTTCTCACCTGCACCTGGGTTAGAGGAGGTGCAAATACCACTGGAGCCACTTAAAAGCAAGTTTTGCCTTTGGCACTTCTATTGCCTCGTTCTGCAACACGCAGGGAAGAGCTTTGGCAGGTGCTCCTGGGCACACTGTGCTTTTGCAATAAGACCCTCTGTGGTTTGTTGAAAGATATATATTTAAAATATATATTATTATACAGCCACATGTATACGTACATGTACATGTACACATATACACAGATATAAAATGATATATCATTGTATATTTTTATTATAATTGTATATACATGTGTGTATACATACACATGTGTATATATAATAACAACCTAATTGTTAGATATATACCAAGGAACTGCAGTGGGTCTTTTCATATATATGCACGTTATAATACATAAAATAATATATATTACATATATTGGTGTATGTGTGTGTGTATATATATATATGACAAGTGCATGTATTAACATGGCAGTAAATCTATATAGCATAAAGATTATATAAAATATATAATAAGTATATATGTAAGTATATATGTGTCTAATGTATATGTATATATATATGCATATATATTACATATATATATATATATAAATATGCACACATATATATATGTATCCAGATGGCAAGCACGCATGTTAACACAGCAGTAAATGTCAGGCCCACCAGAAGCCTGGAGATGTGCTCAACAGGAAGGCATTTTCCAAGCCATACTGCTGACATCCTCTAAACCTGCCTCTCATCCAGCAGCCCTTTTTTGCCCACTCTCCAACACCTAATTTTGGAGCCAGGCCTGGAGAAGGGCTGGCAGCCACTCCTTGAGCAGAGCAGGGCCAGGCTGGGGGCAAGTCAGCGCCAGTGCTGGCTCTTCCCAGCAATGCCTTTGGCCAGAGCCACGGTGGGATGTCTCCATCCTGGCCCTGTGGTCCATACTGCTCCCCCCTCTACATCCCAGCCCTGCCACCTCCTCCCGTCACAGCCCAGCACGGAGCTCACCGGGGAGCTGTCGGGGGACCAGGAGATGAAGAGCCACTCGTATCCCTGGGCGTTCTGGCTGTCCAGGCGGTACAGCACATAGCACGGCTGCTGCTCGTCCAGCAGGGGCAGCACGAAGGGATCGTAGTCAGCGTCCCAGCGCCGGGACAGCTCTTTGTGGGCTCCCAGCACAAGCTGTTCTGGAAGGAAAAGACAGACAAGGGGGTGTTAGACGAAGGCAAGGCTCACCTTGCAGGACCAGATGGTGGCTCACCCAAGGGTTTGCTGCAACTCCAGCACCAACGATGCTGTCCTGCAGAAAAACAAACTGTGCCCTGGAGCCACATGCAGCAGTGTACACCCCGAGGTGTGACCCCCCCCTGGAGATGCCATCAGGGCTGTGGCTGCTGTGGAGGGGCTGGTTTTCTGCCAGCATCCCACAGCCTCCTGTCAACCATCTCCTCCCCTCCACTGCTCCTTGCTGCCAAGGTCTCCTCTCTGGTGATCCTGTGGCCTCCTTCCCTCTGCTCCCTGCACTCATGTAGTTCTCAACCATCCTTTAACATGACATTCTCCCATCCCACCTGGGACGCTCTAGGGGCACTATGATATCTCACCAGGGACACAAGGAAACACCAACACTTGGGGTGCTGAGACAAATAAAGGTCTCACAGTAAAATCCACTGCCACAAGCCAAAGCTGCTCTCATCAGATCCCCTTAAACACAGAGGGGACAAAATAAGAGCTGATACCCAAAGCCCATGTCTTTGCAAATCAGGGGTGTCCCAGAGACCCCAGCCCGACGTCTCTGCCAGGAGAGCCCCAGCCTCTGGAAGCGACCTAAGTATTTCACACACACGGCAGCATCTCAAGTATCTGGAGGGCATTTTTTCAGCTGCTACACAAGTGGCAGTGGGGCTGGGATCCCTGTGAGCTGGGCACTGTTCAGCTGGGATTTAAACACTGGTGGAGGCATCCTACAAACATAAAACCCATCCCCTGGTGAGGGTCAAACCAAGCTTTGGGATGGCTGAATGGAAAAGGGTTGGTACTGGAGACGATTAGTGTAGGTTGCTGGAAAATAGCCTGTATTTTTATTCCATTTATAGATGCAGAAAGGTCTGGAGAGAACAAGATGTAGGAAAATCTGGAGGTGCCAAAGCAAAAGAACTAGAGCCTTGAATAATTGGCACTTGAGGGGATGCTTTGCCTGACACATGCCCTGCCTGGACCTCTGCCCACAGCCCTGCTGCCCACTGGGATCCAGGGAGCCCCTTGGCTGGGGCACAGCCCTCTCCCAACCCTTTCAAATCCCATGGTAGGAATGTTTTTAAAGAAAATAGTTGAGGAATAAAGGGTTTGGAAGGCATTGCTCTCATCCTTCCTTCCCACCCAAGCAGGACATTCCCCAAGGCAGCACTGCAGCCCTTCCCTGCCCAGCGCCACCCTGGCATCTGCCATCACACACTGAATCCAGTTATTTCAGCATGGGTAGCACAAGTTGCCAGTTCAGTAACAAGGACAGCAGAGAACAAGGTGCTGCTGGAAATACTTCTTTACCTTCGACAAAACTACCTGTTTGAAGAAAGCAGCATAAAAACTTCCATGTACCCCTAAAATAAGCACAGAGCTCCGCAAATCGATTTGTGCGTCGCAAAGGCCTGGGATCCCAAAGAGACTGCAGGAATTTCACCTGGCCAAACCCACTGGCAGCTCGTGGGTATCTCTGCCTGCAACACATACCAATACCTCACGCACGAAGCAATCGGTGCTGAGTCACTCCAGGCTATTCCCAGGCTGTGACTAAGCCGGACCCCGGCTGTGCTGCCGTGAGCTGGCAGCCTCCAACCTTCCCCTGGGCTCTTTGCAGTTCCGCTTAATCCACTCAGGGCCAAGTTTTTCTCCTTGGGAAGAATCAGGAAACTCGAAGCAACCGCCCTTCAGCAAAGCATCAGCAGCAGCACCAGCTCTTTCAGGTGCCATTTCTGCTGGGAGCTGCTGCTAGAAAAGCAGAGCTGGGAGTGTTTCTGGCCCTCAAGGTGCCCCCAGCACTCACTGCACACAGGCTGCCTTGCTCTGAAATGCCTGACAAGGAAGCTCTGCCTTCAGCTCTGGTGGGTGCCGTGGGGGGACAGCACAGGAGGCCCAGTCTGCAAAGCTCAGTGCACAACAGCATCCAAGTGTAATGACATGCACCCAACAGGGAAGTCCACAAAGTCAGCCTTGTCCAGAATCCTGCTGACAGTGAGAAGCAGAGCATCACCTAAAAACACGTTGAACCACAAGCTGCTCTCATGCCAGCAAACTGCTGCTGAGCCTTGGTGCACATCCTGCTCTCCCAGTCCTCCTCCATCCAGCCACCGCTTTTCCCAGTAGGTCTCCAAAGGCAGCATCAGCTCAAATTGCTCCAAAGGGCTGCTCAGCCATAGATGTGGCTTTGGGGATGCCTAGACACAGAGCATCTGCCATAAGGCTCCTTGCACCGTCTTCCTCTCCTCCTACCTGCTTTTGCCTGCTCTGAAATGCACCAAGACAAATGTTCCCACAGGGCACAAGGTGTCTGCAAGCCATCAGACAAAGATGGAGGCTCCTCTTCCACATCCCCTGTTCAGTCAGGGCAGCTGGGATGTCCTCCCCAGCCAGCCTAGGGCACATCCCTTCCAGGACCAGCATGCTGGAGTCCCTCTATCTGGCTGTGACCTCTGCCCGGACACTCCTTACTGCCCAAAGGTCCATCTGCAGCGGGTACCAGCAGGCTGATGTTCCCTGTGCTACAGAAGAGTGGTGGTCCAGAGAGGCCAAGCACTGTGTCCCTGAGTCAGGCTGGTGGGACCACCACCACCTTGTCCACAACAGTTCAAGCCCTTTGGCAGAGAGGTGCTCCCACCAATTCTTCCTCTTGCCGACCCACAGGAGCCTCAGGCTCTGCTGCACCTCAGAAGCTTCTGCAGACACCCAAGTTCCTCCAGAGCTGCCCTTGGCTGGTCCAGGCAAGGGAGAAGTAGCTGGCAGGGTGTGAGAGCTGGACTGTGAAGCACAAAAACTGCCAGGCGAGGATGGTCCATGAAGCTGCTGCTGCTGTCATATTGGACATATAAATGTACCCCATTTATCCTCAGCAGAGACAGTAGAACATGTTTTCCACTGATGATAAAACGTTTCCCTTGCTGGTGTCACCAGCCACAACCCAAACCCTAAGACCAGGCTTAGGGACATCCGTGACTTGCATTATCCTAACACAAACCCGACTCCTGCTTTTTAAAAGCAAAAGAAGCTGAGAGTGCAAAATTGTTGTCAAAGATGCTCCAAAGAAACAATGAGGATGTCTCATCCCACCACACAGGGACCTGGCTGAGGACAAAGCCAACACAGCTGAAGCTGCTGTAGCCCCAGTGACGTGTCCCTTCAAGTGGCATTTCAAGTCCCGCTGCTCTTCCAAACGGGGCACTCCAAAGGTCACCATGGGCTCCTTACAACCACATCCACCTCAGTATTTGTGGCATGGTCCTGGTGGCCCACCCAAGGGAGGTGGTGACAGCAGCTTGGCAGGGCATTAATGTCCCTGCTGCTGGAGAAACAAGTCATTCATATGCAATTGTATGAGGCCGAGGTGATGGAAAACCTACACCACAGTGGCTCCCCGCTGGGATGTTCAATCAGTGCTTTGCTCTGCTCACTTGTTTGACAGATGTAGAGGCCACCCAAAGGCACCTTCCCATGGGACAAACACAGGCAGGTTGGTGGCACCTGCATCCTGGGCTAGGGGCAGTCCCATGCAATGGGATGAGTTTCTGAGTGTAGCATCCCTTGGGGGAGGAAACTGGGGCCCTGTGCTGGGCCCTGTGTCACAGAGCACCCCCCTGCCCACCCCTGCCTCAAACACCTCCTTACCTGGCGTGGGATGCCACATCCAAGGAGGAAGATGCCTGTGTATCACCCCCAACAAAGGTCCCACAGATCCTACAGCAGTTTGCCACAGGGTTCCCATCACAATTGGACACAGGAGCAGCAAAAGCCCCCCAGAGCCCAGCACAGATCCTGACATTGGTGCTGCTCTGCTGGCAAAGTCACTGCTCCCCACTGGAGCTGCCCCAGGGCTCCAATAGTTGCTCACCAGCACAGCCAGATTTTGAGCTTGTATTTCAGGTCCGGGCTGCCACGTGCTAGGAAACCCCAGCAGCGTTTTCCTTGAGGTTTCCAAAAACACGCGCTGGCACCTCAGCGGTGAACAGGAGAGGAGGAGAGGAAACAGAGAATAGACATGGTGTAAATCAAAGCACTTAAAAACAGGACTTACCATCCTCAATGATGACCTTGATGAGCCGAACTGAACCGTTTCGGGCTTTGGCAAAAAAGTCCCTTAATTCTGTGGTGGCTGAAAGAACCAGAAACATCGTGATCAGATTTAGCAATCAAAGCAGGTGCTGGGCTCTTGGTGACTGGCCAGGGAGGGGATCAACTTGGCAGGATAGAAATTTAAAATTTTTTTGTAAAAAACTTAAATCTCTGGCGCCCTTAAAAAAATTGTAATAAAAAAATAATAGTAAAAATCCCAAAAAGCTGGGAGCAAAGTGCTGCGTCTCCCTGAGGTGTCAGAGTTAAATAGCAGCTGGGAGCACATGTGATCCAGAGAACCTGATACTTGGCCTGGGTGAACATAATCACCCAAATTTAGACGATGGCTTGGCCAGTGCAGGCAGGGAGAGCTCAAGTGACAAGTTGATTCGCTTTACAGAGCGGCAGGGTTCGCATACTAGGGGTGGTTGGAAGATGTCCCGACAGGCTGTGACATCCTGGGCTGGTGACACGTGGCAGGATGCTGCTCCCGAGTGGCTGGGAACCAGCATGGCTCCAAACTGGAGACACTGGTTTGAAGCTGAGCCCCTGGGGAAGGGAAAGGCAACAGCCCCAGGGTTTTGCTCCGGAGCCAGCAGGGCTTTGATTGCACAAGGCTTTTGGGAAGTGTTTTGGGGAGCCACTTTCCCGCTCATCCCCCATCCCTTAACACTGGGTGACGGCAACTGGTCTTTGGCATCCTTCCAGGAGACAACTGGAGGCAGTGGATATGGAAGGAGCAGCCCACAGCCAGCATGGAAGGCTTCACCTGCCCACCCTGAAAGCATTACTGGCACAGAGCTCCCCATCCCACCCAGGACATGCTGCACATGAAGGCAATGCCCAGATGTGGCTTGGAGCGGCCGACCCCTCGATAAGGAGCATCTCCCAGGCCAGTTTTACCTCCCCCTAAAACCACTGCAGTTACACACCCAAGCCCTTTCCTCAATGCAGCCATGCAGCCAAGGGGGCCCTATGAGTTCAAAGCTGCTGCACTTGTTGGAAATACTGAAGAAAATAGCACTGCAAAGATCAGAGACCTGGGCAGATGCCCCTCAGTCCATGCCAGGATCCGTGCTCAGTCAGCATCAGCAGCCCCCCGCTCCCGGCACGTTGCTGTGCTGCCTGCCCATCACTGATGGCTGTGCCAAAGCAGCCAGCAGCAGGAAGGAACCCTGCTTGGGTCCCTGGAGCCTGAGAGCATCCTTGGTCAAAACACTCTGCAAAGGAAGCCACCCCTACATCAGCTGGAAAGGTGCAGTGGTGGGACACGCCACAGCAAGGGCCAGGCCCATTCTGGTTCAATCCCTCCAGCAGTGGGTGCACCCTCAGCACAGCCCCAGCACCACCACAGGAGGAGCCTCAACATGACTCAGCACCCACCCAAGGGACATGGTGGCCAAGGACTGTCACACAGCGGTGCTCTCTGTCCCCTGGAGCCACACCCTGGGCTGAGGCACTGCCCGCAGCTCTCCTAACCACGAGGAGAGAGAAGGAATCCCTGGGGTGGCCCCAGGAAACTCCTGCCTGTCCCCCACAAGTGACACTTCTGCGATGCATTTCCCCCACCAGCTCAAAGCCTGCAATGATCAGAGGTCCAGGTGGCTTCCCCTCCCACAGAGAGAAGAGGCACACGTGAGAAAGACCTTCCAGGCTGGCTCCCTGCAGGCAGCAGCGCTCCCACACAAACCCAGAGAAGCCATCCCAGCAGGACCCTGTGGGAACAGGCACACAGACACCCCAGTGAAGGCACATCCCTGTTTAATGGCATTTTAGGGGATGCTCAGGTGCTTTGCTGGTGTAATCCCACCACAAGCAAACCACCCTTCTCCCTCCATCAGCATCAAGGCATGTAGCTCTCCCAGTTCCCAGAGCAGACCTTCACCCTCTCCCAGTACCAGCTGGGAGCTCAGCCTGCTCCTGCTGTGCCCAACCAAGGATACTCCGATATTTTTAGCCCCTTTCTCTGTTGAGAGAGGCTGTTTCCTTCTGGCAGCATCTGTGGTTATTGCAAACACACAAGGCGGAAGAGGAAGAGAAAGAGGGACATTTATACATTTATACACCCAGGAAACCTCATGCAGGAGACAAAAGCTCCTAACAAGCATTAAGTTTCACCGATTCCTGCTAAACTGCCAAAATGAGAGAGAATAACATCCGTCTTGGATGTTTCTATACCATCAACTTTGGGGAAGAAACGGGAAAGCTCTGCAGCATTAACTGGATTGCAAATCCCTCCAGACTGACCTCATCCTTCCCAGAACCCAAGGGCATGTGGGGGGGTCTAGAAAATCATGAGTCTGAGCAAATGCAACCCGCTAGCCCACTTGGAAATGCTAGGAGTGCCCTGAAGTATTGGATCAGCAGCTGGGATGATTGACAGTTGAGTGATTGACAAGTGATGACCAAGAGCTGGGACCTGTGTAGGTACAGAAGGGTTGAGGGGGATGAGGAAAAGCTTGGATGCTACTGGAAAAGCCCAGTACACCACAGGAAATACCACAAGGTCTGCCAAGTAGGAAGACTATTTCCAGAGGAGGCAGCAGCAAAAAAAAAAAAAAACAAAAAACCACCAAACCTCAGAGGGGGTTTCCAAGCTTGAATTCTGCTTAAAATTAAAAAAAAAAAAAAAATTAAAAAACCCAATTCTCATTTAAATAAAAAAAATCACCAGGGTGTCTTCAATGTCCCCTTCTGCCTCTCACAAGGCAGATCCAAGAGACAGTGAGGAGGGAGAGGAATAAACCAGTGAAGGTCTGAGCATGAGCTCAGCAAATGCTTCATTACGGCGTGATTACGACTTAATTGGCACAGCAGACTTGACGAGATGGCTCACGTGCCTGAAATGCTAATACAGAAGTCCACAGCTGACTCTGAAAGAAAGGCAGGGAGGAGACTTCACCCTGGAGATGGTACCTCTGCCACATGGCATCTCCCTGACAGGAAGTCTCCAGGACACAACTCAAGGGCTAAAAAACCCACATGTGGGGAAACCATAAAGACCAGGGAAAGGGAGGTGCCACAGGACAGAGGACTGAAGGGGACCACACATCCAACTCACCCTCTAGACATGGGTTCCTGGAAAATCCTGCAACAAATGATCCAGAAACAAACCCAAACTGGGCTATGGCCTGTGGTGATCTACTGAGACCAAATTGCACGAGATCCCTCATGCTTCTCCTAGCAGAGCCACAGACCTGTGGGCTTCAGGGGTCTCAGCTCAGCTTCTAAATGTCTCAAGCCATCTTGGGAAACATGGGGGTGGTGAACCTCTATGGCATGGACACAAAACCGCATGGATAACTCACTCAGGGAGGTATCAGAGGTTGGATCCAGCAAGGTCTCCTGGGGACCTGTGGTGGGTCCAGGTTTATCCACATTTCCATGAACGCTTCTGGCAGCTGCAATAGTGCTTCCTGCAGCTGTAAGGTGGGAAGCTAGAGGAGATGCAAGCACACGCTGGAGAAAAATTCACCGTTCTTTCAGGAGACTGGAGAAATGGGCTGGGAAAAAAAGAAATGGGATGAAACTCAATAGGAAGCCAAGTACCATAACGAGGGGAAGGCCCAGCTATGATGACACAGGGCAGGGTCCAGCAGCTCCAGAGAAGAGAGGTGGGTCACAAGCCAAGTTCAGGTTAGTTGCTTCACGTTGTTGCAGGCAAAGTCATTCGTGAAGGCACAGACAAGAGCGTGACCATGTTATTTGGTGCTGACAAGGCTGCAGGCACAGCAAGAACAGCACATCCAGGCTCAGCATCGTGCAAGGAGCAAGGCACAGCACAGACAGCACCTGTGCCAGAAGGCACAGTGTGTGGGAGAAACCAAAGGAACTGGGGCTGGTCAGCGCAGAGCAGAGAAGAAAAATCATGAACAGTCTGTACTGGTTTTCCAGCCAGAAACATCAGGTCCCACCTTGGCATTTGGGAAATCTCATGATGAGGGTGATCAAACCCTGGGAAGGACAGACACCAAGTGTCCATTCCTGCCCTGAAAAAACACCAGAAATGCTCCTGGGATGTTGCTGCTTTGAGGATGAGCTTGATGGCATCTGAGGAACCTTCTGGCCTTTCTACAAGGCTGCCCTGCTGTCCACCCTCCAGGCAGACATGGTGGGCACAAGCACCCCTGCTTCCTCAGCCACTCACCCAGCCCAAAATCGCCTCCAGCCACCGAGTCGTGCAGCACCTCCCTCTCCCACTTGTTCGTAGGCTGCAGATGAGTTGTCCCCTACTCATGAGCCACCTGCACTTGGCAGCCTGCTGACAGCGTGTCCCTGCACCCCTTGCACCACACAACCTCCCCGCCCAGCAGCACCTGCCACCCATTTGGCATGGTGGGCTGAGCAGAGCCCTCAGCACCGGAGCACCCAGGCTGGGCAGCTCACGGTGTGGCAGGGAGGTGATGGTTTGGGCAGTGGTGGCCTTCAGGTGGCCCTGATCCTGCAGGCAAGCTGCCAGAGGAGAACTGGAGCTTGTGGTGGGAAGGCACAGCAGTGCCTCCCTTCTGGCAGCACTAAACAGGCACAGCCCAAAGCCTGAACCACCTGAGCTTGGGGAGCAGCAGGGCAGCCAATTCCTTGCACCCACTGCTCAGATGTGCTGTTGGCAGCCAGAGCAGGCACTGCCCTGCCCTGGGATGTGCCCCTTTGGATCAGTCCCCAGGAGATTTCAGTGCTGGGCTTAAGGCATCGTGCTTGACTAAACTGCTGAAAGGTGGTGCTCGCTGGTACCCCCCAACAAACACCGTTCCCAAACTGAGCCTTTTTCCAATGTTTACAGCCCCAATTAGCTTATCTGAGCAGAGCCGGGCTGTGAGGAGGCCGGAGGGGGAGAGAGGCACCCGGCAGTGATGACAGCTGTAGCCACAGCAACGGCCACTCGGTCCCTGGGGATGCCTGGGTGCCAGCGGAGCCGCCTGCGCAATCCCCGGGGAAGCACCGCGGGGATGGGGATGGGGATGGAGGCGACAGCCACGCCGCCTCCCCCGCGCCTCCCCCTGCTCCGTCCTGTTCCCTTGTCTGGGCAGCAACAGGTTTTTGCTTATCTGACCCTTCCCAATCCCCCCCCATCCCAGTGCCAGCACCCAGCTCCCAGATCAATAATACATGCTCCCTGAAACAGATGCCTCTCTCAATAACACCGAGTCACCTTGTCCTCCCCGACGGGAAACCCGAGCCTCCAGCCATCAATCTTTCATTCCCTGGACATAATCTTCAAGTTGATGCCACTCCAAGCGGCTGCTTCCCTTTCACTGTCCGGGGCACAAGCGTGCCTGGGATGCAACAGGGAAGCTCTGCCAAAAAAGCAGCCACAAACCCGGGCAAAACTTGTCCAAGCTGCAGGGAGGCTTGGCCAGACAGAAGTCGAGATGCTGATGAATAAAACATTGGTTATACCTGCACTACCCACACCTTCCCTGCCCAGCCAGCTCTGCCCAGCTCCTGTCTGGGCATCCAGGAAAGGACACAACTGCAACAGGCACTGGAGCTAAAATTCCTTCTTTTCAGTCTATCCTGGTGTAACTCCGTCACGCAGTGCCCGCTCAACCCGCTTGCTGCAGGGAGCTTTGCCGCTGACGGACACGCATGGCCAGTTTAAGTGCTAAGAGGATTTTATTTCTCACCGTGGAAAAAAATAAATATGTCACTGCAGGGAGCCTTTTCTGTGGGGAAAAAGCTACAGATGTCAGAAGAAAATAGAAAGAAGGAAAGGAGGAAAAAAGAGGGCAAGAGAGGAAGGAGACAAGCAAAGCTTTTCTCCCGATTTTCTGTGGGGCTAGGCTGTATTCCTGCAGGATTTCACACGGATGGCTCCTGGTCTGTAATGCAAATCCTGCCCAGAGACTTTGAGCCAACACCAGCCATTTGCTTCTCAAGACCCGATTTTCCACATGGGTGCCCATGACCAGTCCTGTCTCCACTTTGCCACCTCAGATCGGAGTTATTTGGCCTTTCCCTTGCTCCAGGGTGGGCAGAACCCACCTGCAGGCAGCATCAGTCAGACCCCAGAGCAAAGCAGAGGTGCCTGCAGAAGTGGCTGGTTGCTGTTGCTTATCTCTGCCCAGTAAAGCCACCAGTGGGAGCACTGGTTTGGGTACTAAGGGGAACAGAGACCCAGGGACAGACCCTGGCAGTGATCTCATTGCATTTACAGTCTCTCACTGCACACTTTCTGAAGGATTTCCTCTCCCCCACCATTTTAGGTGTTTAAATTTAAGGGGTTTGACATCTCAGGGCGTTTGTCTGGTCTTCCACCCATGCTTGCCATTGCTTGCTCACGCTTCTCCATTCCTACCAGATGTTTTCCCAATGCAAGATCCAAACCTGGGGCAAAGTGGCAGCTCAGCTGTGGATGGCAGTGAAGATCCTCCCCCATCCCCAGGTCTTGCCACCTCCCCCAGAAAAAGCAGGCATCAAACTCTATTTTTGGCTTGAAGAAACAACATGCATTTGATTTCTTTACCTTCTAGATGAAAAAAAATACCCTCTAAGAGACTTTTTCTCTCTACCCAGAGGTCTCGAAAGAGATCCCAGAAGCAACTGAAAGCAGATGACCTCCCACCAGCATCAAAGCCCTGGTTCAGCATTGCCTTCCTAAGGTCTTAAACTCAAGCAGTGAATGCTGTCCACATCTAACGCTGCTGAGGGCAGAACAGGGACTGCAAAAATACTCAATGAATCCTCCCAGCTGCAGCTAAAAAGTAGGTTTCCAGCCCCAAAAAGCCCGCAGCACCCCTTGATAGCTTCCAACCGCCTTCCCAGCCTGGCAGTCTCCATGGCAGCCTGGTTTTCTTGCTGGCACCTTCAAGGGAACTGCCAGGGATACACAAAAAAAATCATAATTAGCCTCTTGCCCCTGCATGAAAGGCTCAGCCCTGATTACACACCCTGAACCTGCAGCTCTCACTGCCACTGCTTCCCCTCTCTGCGGACCACCTATTTCTCCCCAAAAGTGGGATGGCATGATAGCCTTGCAGCAGGGGGCTGCTCCAGGGGTTCCCTATGACCACGTCACCCTGCTCTCACGTGGATCTAGCACAGTGTGAAGCAAAATCCCCCACCAACTTGTCCACAACCACCCCTAAGCCAGCCACTGGATCTGATGGTAATTCCCCCTGGGAGCAGATGCCTTCCTGCAAATATGGGAGAAATGGCAATGAAAAAACACAAGGCAATGGGTGCACACAAAGACAACAAGGCCCCAGAAACCAGGAAGATGCAGAAAATCCTTCCTCCTCAGCAAACAACAGACCTCAGCGCCTCAGCAGAGAGGATGAAAGGAGCAGTGGGATTGCTGTTCCTCATTCGATATGGAATCTGCTCTTTGCTGAGCAAACGGATTAATTTGATCACTGTGCCGGGGTGGGGAGGACTGAAAGACCCCAAATCCCCCTTGGGGGATTCCTTTAGAGCCTGGAGCGCCCCATTTGGGCGGTGTTGGAGGGGCAAATTTGCACTCAGAGAGAAAACGGTAGCTTCCTGGAAGAGGGACCATGCAAGAGGGGATGGAGAGAGGACCCAGAGATGTCCAAGATGCTGTGACAGCAAGGCCACCCAACACAAGTCATTTTCCATAACTACGGGGAGGTTTTTACGCCACTGCCAGCTCAGGGATCAGCTGCTGGGCCAGAGTAGTGGGGTCAATCCCCACCCTGCACTGCTGCAGCTCCTCAGGGGAAGTCTGAGTCCCTTCCCCTTTCCCTCAGAGCGCTGCTGACAGGGCACGTCACATCCTATGGCAACAGTGCCTCAGGCACTGGTCGCAGAGGGCTTGCCAAGCGGGGGGCAACCAAGGTCAGGGAAGGTCAGTGCTCTCAGAGGGAGCCAACTGGCACATCTCCCTCTCCAATAGCCACAGGGTGCCAGGGAGGATGGCACCGGTGGCACAGGAGCGGTCGGGTACAGCTGGTGAGCAACAGGCAGCAGCCTCTTGGGGCACACAGCTCAACAGGCCCTGCCTGCCCAAACCCCACAGGGAGCTCTGCAGGGCGGGACCGACATACCCAGAGTTCAGGTGGGCACCGGGGTCCATCCTGGTGAATTTTAATTTTTCCTTTTTTAATTATTATTACATTTTTACAACACAGGGATCATTCAATTAGAGCCTCAACTTTAGGATCTAAGTTTAAACCAGAAACAAAGAAATCTGAGCCCAAATGCCGTCAACCACCTGCTCTCCTGGGCAAAGCAGGAAAAATATCCAGGCACCATCGCTGGCCACTTCTGAGCTAAAGCCCCCACCAGAGCATCTGGAGGGGAAGGATGCTCTTGACCATGCTCAAGGAACAAGGATGGTCATTGCACGAAGGAAGAGTAGGCACAAATTCACACCCTGGTGCACAGGTGCTAGCCGTGAGGAAGGGAGCAGTGAGGACAATGTCCCTGTTCTCCTCCTGGGACTGGATTCACACCCGACCGCACGGAGCAGGGCTCCAGGGGTGGCTGCTCTCACATCCCTGCTCGCATATTGATTCGGTTACATAAATTATGCAGCAACTCTACTCCTGATTAATATTGCTAATTGAGCTGGGAGGTGGGGGGCAGGAGGGAAATACCGTGAGGACACACAGTTAGTCATGCACCAAGCGCACCCAGAAATGCAAAAGCCGTCGTCTCGGGGCGCTGGCTGGGTCCTGAAGGGAGCGGGCGGAGAAGCCGGGGAGCAGGAAACCACTCGGGCTCTCCGCAGCTCGCCTGGGCTGGGGGCAGCCGGGGACAAGCATCCGCGCCGGGAGGGGCGCGGTGGCCGGGGCTGCGGCCAGGCAGATGTGCGTGACACATCTGCCCGAGCGTGTAACAGCGGCTGTTGAGCATCAGCCCAGACAAAGGATGCGGGAGAGCCCCGCACCCGCGGCACCCCGGAGCCAGACCCCCCCTCCCGCAGCTCCTGCCGGCACCCAAACGCTCCGAGCCTGACTCAGTGTCCCCCTCCCCCGCTACTCGCAGGAGAAATCTGCCGGCTCCTTCGGGAAGCTTCATCTTATCGTCCCCATCACCCTCGCTGTCGCGACACCGCCCGCATCCCGCCCGCGGCGGGGCCGGCGATGCGCGGGGCGCGGCCCCGGCGGTGCCTCCCGCGGGGGGCGCAGCGGGACAGCCCGGCCCGGGGGGGCCCGGGTTCTGCGGGGGTCCCGCGGGAAGGGCCGAGGGGGGAGCCCCGCTCGGCGGGCGCCGCTCACCGTGGATGCCGGTCTGGTGAGTCATGGCTCCGCTCGGCTCGGCTCCGCTCGGCTCCGCTCCGCCGCGTCCCGGGCAGGAAACGGCTGGGCAAGGCAGCACCGCCCGTTCCGGAGCGCGGGGCCGCTCCGCTCCGCTCCGCACCGCCCCGGGGCGGGACCGGGGCCGGCGCCGGGAGGAGCCGCCCGGGGAGCCGCACCTGCCCCGCCATGTCGGCCGAGTGGCTGCGGCGCTGGCGGCGGGGAAGCCCCGCAGAGCGCCCCGAAGGAGCCCCGGCAGCGGGGCCGGGCCCGCCGCCCCCCGCCCTCCGCTACCGCCGGCCCAAGTTCGTGCCCGGCGGGGCCGAGGAGAGCCCGCGGGGCGGGCGGGCCGTGCGGGGCGCCGGCACCGAGCGGCCCCTGCCCTGGGGCGCGGGATACGCCGAGTGAGTGCGGCGGGAGAGCCCCGGGGCGGCGGGGTTAGGGGGTCTCCCCCGGGCTGCCGAGAGGGTTTGGGGAGGGGGAGCGGACCAGGTTTGGGGCCTCTCGGGGGGTGTAGAGAGTGCATAGGGGGTGGAGGGCACTCCTGGGGAGGTGCCCGGGGGTGGTCGCACCCCTTGGGTGCAGCCCCCACTGCCCGGACCGCCCGCCCGCGGGCAGAGCTCGTCCTCCCGCCCCGTTTGCGGGGGAGGAGGGAGCGGCTTCCTGCTCTAGAAGAGGTTTGACGTGGCAGCGTGTCCCCCCAACCCGTCTCTGTCCCTGCTGGGGACACCCTTGCCTACCCCCTGCCAACAGCAGGACAGGTAGCAGTGCGGTGAGAAGTGGCCGGGGCAGTCCCGCGAGCACCACCGGGCGTCTGTCCCCTTGCTCCTAACAAAGCGTCTTTAAAACGAATGCGAAGATCACATTTTTATAAATCTTTTGTTTTGCTGTTTTAAATGGCAGAGGGGATGGATCAGGCAGAACTACTCCAGCTAGGAGCTGTCCCCACATCCTGGCCAGACCCCGTGGTTGTGGGATGGCACAGTGTGAAATGCAAGGAGAGCAAACTTCCATCCAGGGACAAACCATTAACAAGGCTGGAAGGAAAAGCAGTGGTGGTGGTTTTGCAATTCACTGTGTTGACAAGGAAATAGCACAGTGTGGGCTGCTGACAAGGGCTCCCTGACAAGGGCTCCCTGAGGCCAGAGTGCTCCAAAACCACTCACTTGTCCCTGTGTCCCTGGCCAGGCTTTTCACTGCTTATTATTTTGGTAACCACTAAGGAGATCCTCGAATCTGAAAAGGGAGCATGGGGCTGGAAGGAAGGGGCAAGGTGCAGCTGTTCACTGTGGCAGCACAGCTGGCTGGGAGCAGGAGAGGTCCAGAGTGTCCCCACGCCTTACCTGGAGCGTTTGCACCCCCAGGGTTATCAATGCCGAGAAGTCAGAGTTCAATGAGGACCAGGCAGCCTGCTGTCAGATCTCTGTCCGGAGGAGAGAGCCAGGCCTGGAGGAGGATGAGGAATGGCTGATCCTGTGCTCCACGCAGGTATGGACCCTAGGCAGGCTGTGCTCACCCTGCTGCCAGCCTTTTGCTGCCACACAAAGGCCCAGGGTCAGGAAACACAGATTACTCCATCAGTCCTACACACCCATTCTCTTGGACTTGTTAGGGAGATCTGTGTACCCTATGGGCAGCAAACACCCAGTTCTGCCTGTACATGTCATTTCTACTTCAATGGGACTTGAGGTTGTCCAAGCCCTTTACGTGGTGCCATCCCCTTTCCTTTACTGTCCTCCCTCTGCTTCCAAGGGCCAGTGTGAGTGGTCTTCACTTGGGGACAGCAGCGTGAACCAGGCACCAAGATGCCTTCACCTGGGAGCAGACCCTGCCTCACCTCTTGTGAAATGGCCCCATCTCCCCTAAAACACAGAGGAACAGCACGGGAGGGTGTCTGGTTCAAATCCAGACGCTGAGATGACAGGTCTGCCAGAGCAGCACAATGACATCACATGAGTTTGAGCTGCACAGGAGATTTAACTGGTGGCAGGGAAGGGTAGTCAGGGTGGAAAAGCCGGGCAAAACACACTCTGTGATCTTCTGGCTGTGAGCCTGCCATCTGTACAACCTCTTCAGCCCTTGTCTTCTCCCTCCCTTGCTGTCTTGTCCCTCTTCCTCACAGCAGTTTCTAAATGGTTACTACTGGGCGCTGTTTGATGGCCACGGTGGCCCCGACGCTGCCATCATTGCCTCCAACTACCTGCACTACTGCATCAAGCAGAAGCTGGAGGAGGTGGTGGGGGGCATCACAGAGGCCCAGCCCCCCATGCACCTCAGCGGGCGCTGCGTTTGCGACAGCGACCCCCAGTTTGTGGAGGAGAAGCACATCCACGCAGCAGACCTGGTGGTGGGAGCGCTGGAGAACGCCTTCCAGGAATGTGTGAGTACCCACCTGTGCAGGGCACCAGTCCTGCTGTCCCAGGCAGTCAGTCTGTCCCCCCTCATCGCCCTGAAGGGCAGGGTCTACAGCTGTGTTGGCTGTACCAAAGCAACATCGTCAATCACCTTGCTGGTTTCCTGTGGCCCATCCACACTCAGTTTTGGTTCTGGATTTCTGCTGGGAGGCATGAGGCAGAGTGTGTAAAGCAACAGCTCAGATCACATCAGTCTCCAAACTTTAAACCAACAGGATGAAGTCATTGGCCAGGAGATGGAAGCCACGAACCAGACAGGAGGCTGCACTGCTCTGGCTGCTCTTTATTTCCAGGGAAAGCTGTATGTGGCTAATGCTGGGGACAGCAGGTGGGTCATAGTAAAAGGGGGAAGTTGCTAGGCGGTGGGAGCTGGGAGATAGGAAGGTTTCCAGCATCTTACTGTCCTGGTTTCAGCTGGGATGGAGTTAATTTTCCTTCCTGTGGCAGACATAGTGCTGTGTTTTGGATTTAGGATGAGAACAGTGTTGATAACCCACTGATGTTTCAGTTGGTGCTGAGCAGGGCTTGCACAGAGTCAGGGACTTTTCAGTTCTGGGGGCACAAGAAGCTGGGAGGGGACACAGCCAGGACACCTGACCCCAACTGGCCCAAGGGATATTCCAGACCATGTGGCACCATGCTCTGTGTATGAACTGTTGGAAGGCTGGCCCATGGCCACTGCTTGGGAACTGGCTGGGCATCTGCACTGGGCATCAACTGTTTTGTACATTCTAATTCTTTTATTATTATTATTATTATTTGCCCTTTCATTTCTGTTATATTAAACTGCTTTTATCTTTTTTTTTTCCCCTCAAATTCTCTCCCCCATCCTACTGTGGGGGGAGTGAGGGAGCAGCTGTGTAGTGTTTAGCTGCCTGCTGTGTTAAACCATGACACTTATTTAATCCAGCAGACAGTAATCGTGGCAGCCCAGCCATTTCCCTCCTGCCTGGCACAGGACCTGTTGGAAGAAAAGTGCTTTCATGCCTTCTGGAATGGTTTCAGGATTTCAAGGGACTGAGTCTGCCCAGCCACAGGGCAGTCTTGGGGGGATGGTGCAGCAGTACACTCAGTCTGTCAGGTGTTTAGGGGTGTAAGGTGATTTCAGGGTATCCCCAAGAGCTTCCTCACCTGGCCTTGGCCCCCCATTCCTCTACCAGAGAGCTCAACCGCTGTCAAACCAGGCAAGCACAGTTCTCTGCTGCAACAGTGCAATTGCGATGGACTTATTTAAAACTGTGGCATTTTTGAAATGAGTTTTCAGGGCAGAGCTATTCTCTGGCACAGCTCTGCACCTCTCCACTCATATCGCTCCACTTTTCTCCCCTTGTAGGGCCATTCTTGTCCTGAAGGACAACATTGTGCCCATGAGCAGCGAGTTCACACCTGAGACAGAGAGACAGCGAATCCAGCACTTGGTGAGTGACCCCTTCCATGCATCAGACAGTCCAGCGAGCAACCCACTGGGTCACAGGGGGTGCTTGTGGCAAGAGGTCCACCAGCTTTCCTTGAAGGCCACTGTGGCCACAATGTCAGCTGGCACTAGCCAGGGAGGGCTGGGGGTGAGATTCAGCCAACAGTCTTCAGTATGGGAGACACTCATGCCCTCATTGGAACGTGCTTTCCCAATTCTGTTCTCGATTGTGCTGCTGGGAGTGCCAGCCCCGAGGCAGAAGCAGCTTTAGTGCCCTACTCTGCTGAAGCAGAACCTGTCCCTCCTCATGCCCTCCTTCCCTCCTCCAGGCTTTTCTTTTCCCCAAGCTCCTGGATGGTGAGTTCACACGCTTCGAGTTTCCACGGAGGCTGAAGGGAGATGACGTGGGCCAGAAAGTCCTGTACCGGGATTACTTCATGGAGGGCTGGTGAGTCCTTTCTGCCTGAGGATAAGGCTGTGCCTCAGGGCAGCTTTACCTGCTCCTAGGAGTGGGGAGGTGAGGGGAGAAGGGGCATCTCCTCCTGCTGAAAGCTGGGCACTGTGAGCAGCTCCCTCCAACTGAAGGACCAGGGCGCTGGCAGGGTGGTGAGAAACAACTGAGATGGTCCTTCTGGGATCCACTGAGGTGGAGCTAGTGCAGGTTGGGGACATAGGGCAGAGTGAAAAACAAGTGGGCATTCACTGCATCTGCTGCAGGAAGTCACAATGTCCCTTCCTCAGTGAGCTGCCTGTGCATGGGGACACCACAAGGGTTGAATCACCGTTGAAATGCTCTGGCTGGGTTATACCATCAAGTTAAACAACAGTGAATTCTCTGTTCCAGGGGATACAAGACGGTGGAGAAAGCTGACCTCAAGTATCCTCTTGTCCATGGTCATGGGAAGCAGGTAGCTTAATGCTTTACACACTGGGAAGGCAGAGGCAGGTCTGCTGGAGGCCCTCAGTGTCCCTGTCACTCATGGTCACGCTCCAGGGCACTATGGCAGGTGGGGCTGCAGAGCACCCAGTGCTCTGGGGCTTTCCAGCATTGCACAGACCCACTGGTTAGTGTAAACCAGAGCCCTCTGGGGCAGTCTGCACCCTGCTCCAGAGTACAGCAGTGCAGACAGCAGCCCTGAGCCAGCCTGCCCTTTCCTCTTCTCTCTTTGCACACAAAACCACATTTCAGATGAGAACTTACTTCATCAGCTCCCACTTGGGACTGTCTCCTCTAGCTCTTAACTGGTGCCTTTC